AGAAAACATTGTAAAAAAACAATTTAAGGATTATTGCACAGGATGAAGAGGTTAAAAACGTGTAAGGCTGCTGAAGCAGTCAGCAATGATAAAAGATGATGCTGCTGCTCATTATTACATGTGGATGTTAAAAACATGAACATGAAGAAGACAATGAAGTGTATCTGCAGGCTGGATTAAACACTCCCTCAGCTGGACTTTAACATGATAATCTGATGAGCAGGAAAGATTCACTCAGCTGGAGATTAGCATGAGCAAACTTACAACCAAATAAATCTTTTACAACATTAACATAAAATCTAACAGCACTGGTACTCGTTCTTTGTTCCTTTTTAATTAGTTTCTAAAGAATCACTGCTTTTTATAAGCTAAAAGACAAAAACGTCTTGGTTTAATAAGCAAATTAAAATAATGTCAGTTTTATTTAATTTATCCGCTGTAAAAGATAAATTAGAAACAAGCACGGGTCCACTCTTCTCTCTGTTTAATGCTCTTATGTTACTCAGTTTTTAACAGTGCAGCTATCTTTGGTTCAGTGCATTTCTATCAGCTGACCTGTTGCACAAATTTAGTTTCCAAACTTTAAATACCACCTCCGATATGTCTGAACTCTCCACATTTCACCTTTATCCTGCAAATAATCCAACATTACAGGTTTATATTCAAATCGAACATAAACAAAGAAATGGGCAAAAGCCTTCATCTGAACCCTGGTTCAACATTTTGGTCTTGGCTGCTTTTCTGCCTCACAGTTTAAGATGACTTGAATAAAAATTCTGTGTTTTGTTCTTAGCAGGAGACTTTGGTTCACTGTCATCCTCTCCTGTTTAACCCAAACTCAGCACACAAATTCAAACAAAGAATTAAAAGTTTGTAGAGAAAAAAAATCCACCAGCGACATTTCTGTGATGAAACTGACAGCGATGCATGTGTCTGAGCCAGGATCCGGGTCAGTGAACGCAACACGAGTGGTCAAGCATCAGCAGAAGATCAGATGGGTTTGGAAACACGGATGACTTWCTAAAAGTTTGAATGGCGCCTAAGACAGAAAGGTTTCCCACTGCTGTAGTCAGCATATCAAAAGTTTAGTCCAACCACCTGCTCTAATGTTGCTCTGACACGTCAGCTGTAGGTTTACTGACGATGTCAGCTGGAGCGGGTTTATTGATAGGATGGAAACATCACAAACCTCTTTCTTACAACAGTTACACTAAAGAAATACCACTAGTGCTTCTCAAATCACTAATGGAGACTTCCCACCACACTGAGCTTTCATAAAAGAAGCCAGGCCAGCAGAGAAGTGGACTGATGTTAGCA